GCGTGTGCCCAGTGGGGGAGCTTTGCCAGGGCAGCCAGCCCAGGCTTGTCATCACTGCGTTTTGAGAATTTTTCTGAAACGGGGGACCTTTCAGCTCTTCCTGTTCGGAGGACTTCGCGTTAGGAAGGGAAGTGGCTGCGTACAGCATGTGCCGGTGACCTTCAAACCGAGAGTGAAACTGGCTTTGTTTTCCCTTTAGAAGCCTGACGTGCGGCTCTCACGAGGCAGCATCGACAGGGAGGACGGAGGGCTCCAGGGCCTGGTAAGCAGCGGCCCGGGTCTTCCCCGGGACTCGGACCTTCGTTGTTATGGCGCATGTACCGATAACGTGCTATGAAACAGTCAGCCATGTATAAAGGCAGCACCCGCTTTAGCCTAGATTGTGAACATGCGACACACAGCCCAGCCTTCTTACTCAGACACCGTTTTCTGCCCCATCACGAACACGGTCTTCTCCACCGTCTGCTAACCTCTGCGCCCTCAGGAAGGATGTCCACGTGTTAACTGTTGATACTTCTGCTAAATTTTCACATTCTATCTCCGGGGTTATAAAAGTTTCCACAGTCACAGGAAACTTACTTAAGCAAGAGTTTTTCTCCTGGGCGTCGTGAGAGGAGATGCCTGGTGTTCTCTCCCAAGCGCCAGCTTATGATCATCCCAAGTGTCCTAGAGACCTGCCGGAACTATTCCCTGGGCTTTGGGGGACGTCGTTAAAATTGTTAGCATTTCCGTCAGCAGGTGCCTGGTTAAAATAAATGCAAGTTTCTTCAAACACCTAAAAAAGTTTCTGTGATAAAGGGAAACCTGTTCCTGATGGGTAGCAGATTGATGGAGCTCAATCTCCACCCCAGGAAAGCAGAATTAAAGCATTAGTTCACTTCCGGACAGGCGTGCACACGGGCACCTTACCTGAGACGGCGTCGTCACCCAGCCCCACAATGCGCCGCGCAAGGGGACCCCGCCTGGAGCTCCCCAGTTCGACTAACGACCGGCTGGCCCCGAGGTTGGGCTCAGCCAGCATAGGAAGCGCTGGGGTTTGCGACCGGAGCTGGTGCGGCGGGCACCCCGCGGTTCACGAGCACAAGGTGACATTGTCTGCCACCGAGCATCACGCACACCTCCTTCCTTACACCGAAAAGAAGAGTAACACGTGACGAGCAGCCTGTCCTAAATGTAAAGGAGAAAGAGTGACAATCTGCATGAAAATTAACCCTGCTCACGGGCCAGCCATTCAGAACATTACCATTAGGAAATTTTATTAGAAAAGGAAAAATCTGTGTGTTTCAGTGTGTGGCACGTAGACGACACCCAGAAAATATGTAGAATGAATGACCAAACTCGTGAATTATACGTGGACGCAGGAGGGTTATTCAGAGACACTTCATGTCTCTGAATAAAGCATGACGTGCGCGTCTCGGCCGTTGCTACCCACCCGGCCCGGGCGACAGTCGGGCGCTTCGTGCTGACGGGCGCTGTGCTGGGTGCTTTGCTCGTGTCCCCTCGCCGAGTCCTCAGCATTCTTGTCAAGGCCGTGGCCGTGCGTGCTCCACAAATGAGTAAACTGAGGCTCGTTGAGAACGTGCCCAAAGCCACCCGTCATAGAGCCAGACAGCGCCCTCACACACACCGGCAGATGGCCAGCCTGGCTCAGCAGGCTCCTCATGACCGTGCGGTTTAGGCCGCAGCTGGCCCCTTCCTGGGGGTTGGTATACACTGTGACCACATCTGGTTTTTTCTCTTGTCTTTTGCTAAAGATATCTATTTGGTTTGGCTGATTTCTGAAGCATTCCAATTAACGCTTTTGAAAACGTGCCACGGTTTCCGGGAGAACCGTTTGTCTGGAAAGCAGTACAAATTATTGCTCAGAAACACTACGAACTGGCTAGTGGAAATCGATCCCATCAGTTTGCATAAAAAGTAAAAACTGCTCGGATTTTCAAACTGGTGCACAGGTCGACAGCATGTTTGTCTTGTGACACAACCTCGTATTAGGTGAATGTCATCAGCCTCAGTGTAATCGTGGGAAACCAAAGTCCCAGACAGCTGAGTGAGTCCCCCGGGGCCAATGGCTGAGCCAGAGCACGGCTGACGCCACACAGTCCCATCAGGCCCCTGAGAGCGGGCTTTGTGCCCACCCTCCTGGAGCAGACCTGTGCGACTGCCCCGCACAGTGCCTGCTTTGTGTTCTTGTTGCATTAATCCAGAATGTTCTGAGGATAGGATTTTCGAGTTATTTGAACTTTCCTATCACCTGCGTATCAACCAGAAAGTTCTTTTTTGTGTTTTAAACCTTTTTGAACGTGCGTGGTGTATGGCCTGGCTCAGTCTGCACGGCACGGCCAGCTGACCGTGCCTGTTTGCAGAGCTTCGTCCTCGTTTGCCACTGCTCCCCTTCCTGTGACTGACGAGCGTGGCTCGGCGGCGGGAGGGAGCTTCCTGCGGGGTCAGCGGGAGGCGTCCATGGATGTCACTTTTTCTAAGAAGATTTTAAATTGGTCGTGACTGCCACGTCGTGTTCCTGGAGTGCCGCATGCTCCTCTGTCACAGCCTTGTGTCATGCCCTGTGGCATTATTTGCTCACTGGTCTAACATCCCACCCCAGCTGAGACGTGAAAGCTGCCCCCTCCCCCCTGCTGGCCTTCGAGCCCAGCGTTCGGCACAGGTTCAAGGAGACAGGTTCAAGGAGACGGATTGAGGGAAGGGTGGGGCGGGCGCGGCCCTGGCCCTGGCCCTGGCCCTGGCTCTGGCCCTGGCCCTGGCCCTGTGTGCACCTGGCACCTTAACGGACCTTTTTTCTCTCTACAGACTGGAAACCAGCACATCTACCAGCCCGTGGGGAAGCCAGGTAAACGCAGAGAGGACTCGTGTGTCAGGAAGTCCGTGTGACGGGGGTGGGGGGGGCGGCATGGGTATTACCTGTGTCCGTCCCTCGGCTTTGGACGGCCTTGTGACTTTTAACACGTTTCCCTCTACAAGCGCAGCGAGCGTGTGAGGTGGGCGGATAGTGGGCTGCTGCGTGTCACGCGGGGGCGTCCGCGCTGGCAGTGGGGTTCGCCCTTATTTGGGAGCCATTTCCCACTCTGGAGGCGCTCACTGAGTGACCCCTGTTCCCTTTGCCAGATCCTGCAGCTCCGCCAAAGAAGCCACCACGCCCTGGAGCCCCTGGCCACCTGGGCAGCCTCGCCAGCCTCAGCAGCCCTGGGGACAGTTACAACGAGGGCGTCAAGGTGAGCGGCAGAGCTCGCACCCTGCTCGGGGCTCCGTGGAGTCCTTTCGCTCTTGGTCGATGGCCCTGTGACCCGAGGTGGAGGTGGTGCTGAAGGCGGGGCGGGATCGTGGGGAGCGGGGGTCTCCGGGGTTCAGCTCCGCCTCCTTCCCGCCCCTCCCAGTCGGGCACGAGCTTTACTGGGAAACTCTTCCCCGTTTTTGTCTCACGTGATAGGTCCCGGGGCCTGGGTCGGGACAGGTCCTGGCTTTCCTCTCACCAGGCAGAGTGTGGCTTTAGGCTGAAGTACAGGGTGGCTTCTGGTGTTAAGGTTCACTGGACCGGGGTACGAGGCGCGCTGTGGTCAGGCTGGCCCGGGGCCGAGTGGGAAGCTGGCCAGCGTCAGGCCGGGCCCCGAGAGCCGCGTGGAGCCGCCCCGGGCGCGGGCTCCTCCAGGCCCCGCCAAGCCCGCAGAGGGCTCACGGGTGCAGTGGCTGCGGCGGTCCTGCCCCACGGAGGAGGGGCCTCTGCTTTCCCTTAGAGACCTGTCCCTTCTCGAGTTTGCTCCTTCTCAGTTCTGATACCTTTTTTTTTCATGTTTTACTATCTCCCAAATCAGGATGGTGTGTCGGTTTAATCGGCAGCATTTTTTTCTTAGTGGTACAGAAAGAAATTGCATCTCATTCTGGGTGTCACCTTAGAGTCCAGTAGCTGTGGCTTCGGTTAAGGTGGACTCAGATTCACTTGAACCGCCAGGCCCCGCCCCGCCCCGCGCCAGCCCGCCCCGTGCCAGCCCGCCCCGTGTGTCCACAATCCTCACGGCACTAGTCGTGTTCTTTTTCCCAGTCTTCACACGAGACGGCCAAGGTTCGCAGAGGTTAAGGGCGTGTTCAAGGTTATGTCCTCCCCACAGCTGAGCCCACATTTGGCGTGGCCCTGGCTGTCCACGGCGCCCCCGCCAGAGCCAACGGGCAGTTCCTGGGTAGAAGGTGTTTTGCCATCTCCAGGAGTCGGAGAAGTAGTGCCGGGGAACAGAAGTGTCCCCTCCAGACACGGTACACGTCAGCCGGCAGCCCAGAGGGCAGTGACCAGGGAGGGAGCAGGCTGGCACCAGCTCAGACCAACTTGCCACCTGCTGGCATAGCGCCGGGACCACTGAGCCGGAGGTGGCCCTGCCAGAGGCCAGCTCCCACAGTGTCTGCCGGCGAGTTGTCGCAGTCAGTGCTGGCTCTGGAGCACCACCCAGAGTCTCCAGGCCCCAGGACACCTCCCAGCGACTGCCATCAGACTGGGGGGGTCACTGGGGAGGAGCGAAGGGGGACACAGCCCTTCCTAATGTGACTTCTCGACATAAAGGAGAGGAGAAATTTGGTTAACAAACTGTTTTTGTTTTTTATAAGCCACATGAGCAGACTTTCAAAATGGCTTGTATTACAACAAAAAAAGTTTAGAAGTAGATCAGATACCAGCTTAGAATGCTGACACGTGTTCATTTTCACAGGGGGATTAACATGTGAATAAATGCAACTGGGAGGTACCCTTACTTTAGGGTGTTAAGCGAGTAGAAATCTTAGTGGAATTAGGATGCTTGCTTAATTATGTTAAGTAAAGATAATTTAATTAGTGTGAGGTATATGTCTCTGTTCATTGATTATCTGTTTGATAGAGGTTATCAAAGCCTTAGAAAACACCACTGTTTTGGTACAGAAATGCTTACCTGTAGCTGGCTGTAACTAAAGTAATTCATCCGGACACCCGTCAGCCAGAAACCAGTGTCAGGAACCATTTCGGTTCTGAACTGTCCGCATCGTCAGGCACCCACCCAGCTGGTCAGAACCGGCCACATCTGTGCAGGTGCTGGTCTCCCAACTTGGGGGTCTCCAAATTGTCAAGCTCTAGAAAAGAGGAAACCAGTAACCGATGTCTCTCTAAACTAAGCTTTCGCTTTGGGGCGTCGCCATGGAAGGTCCCTGGAAGGTCCCTGGAAGCCCTGTGACAGTGCCGGGGCAGGAGCTGAGCAAGGGGGAAATGCGAAAGATAAAGAACGGAAGTTCTAAACGGGGTAGAACAGTCAGAACAAAGCGCCCCGCCTCCCACCCACGAGAACCGTCGCAGGCCGTGGTGGGCTCTGCCCGCGGCTCTCCAGGGAGCCGGGCCATGGCCCTGGTCCAGCCCAAGGGTGCGTGGGCCGCGTTAAACGGGACACACTGGGACCCTTGCTGGGGAGGGTGAAACACGCGGTCATAGCCGACCTCTGTCTGGCGAGTGCTCACGGACAGCGAGCTGTGCGGGTTGGACCCTGACGTTTAAGGTTCTGCCCAGCTTGTATCCCAAACACTGTACTTTTCCCAGACCACCGTGGGAAAGGTCAAGAGCGCCCATTACCCCGAATCAACTTTGCCTTTGAGAGTAGGTTGGCCTGAGTGTAAGCTGTGGAGATAAACAAAACCTCTAAATTTAAAGTAAAGGAGCTAGCCAGAAGAATTGGTTCAAAAGTAGGTTTTTTGTTTTAGTTTTGTTATTGTTTTTAAAATCAGCTCGTTTTCATAAACACAGCTGAAGCCAGGGATCTCTTACGGCAGGATGGCCAGACAGCGAGACCCAGTCCCGAGGGGACCGAGGGGGGTACGGTTTTTCCCACTCTGCGGTCCAAGGGGCAGTGCACAGTGATGACCAGTGTCTGTACTCCTTCCCTTTCGAAGACCCCTAGTTCTTTTGATCCTTGCACGGCTGGCCGGACTGTCACTGTCGGGCTTTGCATGTCGTTTTCCTCGTTGATTCGCGAAGCGGGCCTGGTGCATGACAGCCCCCTGCCGACGTGCGGCGTCCGGGGCACGTGGCCGGGCGGCTCTGCGCCGACAGCCAGCGAGCCGAGAGCTGCAGGCGTGTGCTCGCTCCTTTCTGCTCTGCTTGTGTGTTTTTATGGGGGGGTGTCTGCTGCCTTCATTAATATTGTTTTTCTTTTTTCCCTTTCTCTGGTAATTTCTTTAACCTTCCCTCACCTTCCGTGCGACAATAGCCGTGGAGGGTAAGCACCTGTGTCTGTGTGTCTGCTCCCCTCTGCGTCACACCCAGCGCTGCATGTGGCGACCTGAACCCAGGGGCCGGGGGAGGGTGCTCCTGCTCGGCTCACACCAGAACCACCTTCGTAGTTGCCAGGAGTGGGGTGGGGACATCTCTGCAGTGTCCTTTTCTGTCTCGTGCCTAGACTTGGAGCTCCCAGGTTCCGGTCTCCTTGGACCAAGGCGGCCTGAGAGCTCAGAAGCAGGCGCCTAGCGTTTCAGACTGAGCCCCGGCAGCAGATTCCTGCACGCAGGGCACGCTACTGTCCTCTGGCTTCTGGAAACACACACAGGCCGTCCCGGGCCTGGTTCAAACGTTTAAATACCGTGAGATTTCCCAGAAGCCCTTGCAGAGCTCAGCTCCCCGTCTGCCTTGGGTAACACCTGGCGATGTCACCGTGCCCAGGCCCGGGGGAGCCGTGTCCCCACGTCCCTTCGTGCAGGTGACTGAGGCCGTCCCGTTAGGGGGCGCCGCGGGCTTTGCTGGTGCCCCCGCAGCTTCGCGTGGGCCACGTAGTGCTTCCCGCAGACTCAGAGCAGGCGGATGTTCTCAGGCTCTTCACGTGGACTGGACGCCTGGCCTCTTAGCTCTCTCTCAAATCCTCAGCGAGCTGTAAAGCGTACGGTGTCTTTCTCTTCTGACGAATGATTCTGGGGGTGTCGAATCACTTCTCTGAGAGAATCTGGGGCTTTTCCGTAAAATTGTATGATTCCAACTCATTTCCTTTAACCGAGCTCAAAATTAGGGAAAGTGATTGCCCCATTTACTTGTCACTCATTCGACCAGTTCACTGTCATCCTCAAAGTGAACTGTGCCCCGAGCAGACAGTCGGTGGCGTGGTCTGCCTCTGTCTCCTCTAAGGCGCTTTCTGGCCTGGTCGTGGTGACATGCCACCCCTGCAGAGCGGGACAGTAACCGGCTTCTGTGTTGGCAGCTTCAGCCCCAGGAAATCAGCCCCCCTCCCACTGCCAACCTGGACCGCTCCAACGACAGGGTATACGAGAACGTGACGGGCCTGGTGAAGGCCGTCATCGAGATGTCCAGCAAGATCCAGCCAGCCCCGCCAGAGGAGTACGTGCCCATGGTGAAGGTAAGCCGCCCGCGCCGTGCGCCGGCAGACCGCGTCCCGTGCCGGGGGGAGGCCATGGGGCCCTGCGGTCAGGCCTGGCGCTTCGGCGGGTCCGTGCGAGGGCAGCACAGTGACCTCCTGCAGTCACTGCCGCAGTCACACGAGTTCCTGTCCCCACCCAGCTCTGGGCTGGGCATGTCCTCAGCGGCACGGGCTTTACTGCTTACTGTTCACACACACAGCCTTGAGCGAGAAAAGCAGGCGGCAAAATTGCCGTTTGTGTCAAGTTGAAGAACGTGCCGGCGAGTCCCGCGGAGGGCTGGGCGCTGGCAGTGGGCAGACCCTTTGCTGGGGCAGAGCAGACTCGGCAGGCGCCCTGAGGGCAGGTGCCGTGGTCCCCGCGCCTGCAGCAGCGTGTGGGCCCTTCTGAGCCGGGAAGCGCCGGGAGAGAAGCGGGGAGGACCGGGCGCCGCCCCGAAACCCCGGAGCGCACTCGATCCACCAGCCTCTGTCCCTCGCCCCGCTCCCCGGACTCGTGGAGTGATGAGCACTCAGATCCGAATCTGGACGGGAAGATGACCCCATACCTGAGATGAGGCTCAGGGCGGAGGAAAGGAGCATAGAAGTTTTCTCTGCAGTGGCAGGAGGAAGATGAGAGGTGGCGTGAGTGGAAGGAGGGGCGCCAGGGCGGGCGTGGGGCGCCGCGGCCTCACCCGCTGTGCTCTCGTCCCTTAGGAGGTCGGCCTGGCCCTGCGGACGCTGCTGGCCACGGTGGATGAGACCATTCCCGTCCTGCCGGCCAGCACCCACCGAGAGGTAGGGCACGGCCCCTCGTCCTGCTGCGGGACGGTGCGGGTGGGCACCCCAGGGGCGGGGCGGGCGTCCCGAAGCCGGTTAACGGTGGTGATGGTTGTGGTGCCCGCGGCGACGCTGACTTTACTGCCTGTGGCAAGGAAGGTTTGTTTAAGGGCAAAAAGGACCGTGTTTCTCGTGGAGGCACCAAGGGAGGTGCGTAATCCCCCTGGGAGGCTCGTGGGGAGCGGCTCCTGACCCCTCTCTCGTCCCTCCAGATCGAGATGGCCCAGAAGCTGCTGAACTCCGACCTGGGGGAGGTCATCAGCAAGACGAAGCTGGCCCAGCAGTGCGTCGTGACCAGCCTCCAGCAGGAGTACAAGAAGCAGATGCTGACCGCCGCCCACGCACTGGCCGTCGACGCCAAGAACCTGCTGGACGTCATCGACCAGGCCAGGCTGAAGCCGCGCGGACAGACGAGGCCGCACTGAGCGGCGCCCAGGGCCGTGCGCCCGAGCTCCACCAGCAGCGAGGACGCCGCCTGTCCTCCGTCGCCAGCACCCACAGCGCAGCCGTCTCTGACTGACAGCTGGTCGAAAATCTCTCGTACAGGTCTAACCACGTTCTGATTTGGGCTCATTTTTTTTTTTTTTTTTTTAATCGGTGTTAAGAAAAGTTCAGCATCCAAAATGTGGCGTTTTTCTAAGAATGAAAATCGTACGTGGGACGCTTTTAAGATTCATGAAGCAGAGCTTGCGTGCGCGTGAGGCCGTGTCCCCGGCGAGGCCAAGGCCGGCACGCGTTGGCTCCTGGACTCGCCGAGCTGCACGTTGGAAGGAGACAGGGCGGAGGGGAAGCCGACCGGAACGTTCCCCAGACCGGGGTCTCGTTGTTAGAACACTCTTCAGTTGCAATATGCTAATACCACTTTACAGAGAGAGAATATAAAAGCTATATTTTGAAGACTTGAGTCATTTCAGAAAAAGACCTACGACCCTTTCGTCTTTCCCGCCTTTTACTTTCACGTGGACGTGTGAAACATTCGGTTGGAAACTAGCTGTAGAACACTCTGAAAAACATTTGTCTTTTTCCACCAGAATAATGTGCCAGTTTTTGTAGCGATGTTCTTGGAAGCAGAAATGCTTCGGACCAGAGCACCTCCCCCCTGCAGCGAGAAGAGGTTCTGGAACCATCCGTTTTCCATTTTTGTATAATTTATAAAGAAAGATTAAAGCCATGTTGACTATTTTACAGCCACTGGAGTTAACTAACCCTTCGTCGTGTCTTTCTTCCCAGGAGAGAGTTAAGCGAAACAGATTTGGTTTTCTTCTGCTGTCCGTGACGCCATCATTCTGTTCCATGATTTTGAGACTCTACCCTCCCTGTAGTTTGTCGGGGGATATAAATTATTCTCAGGAAGAATATAATGAACTGTACAGTTACTTTGACCTATTAAAAAGGTGTCACCATTGAGGTCTCGGTGTAACATTCTTTCTGTTGCTTTTCTTCCTTCAAACGATTTAAAATTTTTCAGGCGGCTTGTCAGAGGGAATAACATACAGGGAGCTCTCAGTAATCATCAGTTTCTTTCCTCCTTTGCCCTCTGGGCAGGTCAGGGGAGTCGCCACAGAAGGGCGGCCCAGGGCGAGTCACCCTGTCCATCGTCCTCAGTAAAGGTGGAGGTGCGAACGGGAGCAGTGCCACCTGTGAAGGAGTGCCTTTGGCAGCCCTGTCCCTGTCATATCGTTCCGGGCCAGCGGCTCCCACAGAGTTCACTCGTAAAGGGGACTGTCAGCGGCGAGCGTCCAGTCCCGCTGGAATCTGAGCCATGCTGTGGAGCAGATGGAGCCAGGGCCACAGCACGGGGACTCGGAGGGAGCAGGCTGGGCGCAGGGCCTCCCAGGCTGAGGGGTCGGATGTGCCCTGGGGAATAGGTGTTTTTTCCTGCTGTAGTTGTGACATTTACTTGACCCGAAATAGGTCAAGGGGGTGTCATCCCTCTGGGTGTCTCTCATGCTTTGGTGTCCTTCGGTCTCCGAGTCTGCGTCCTCGTCACTGCGAAGGCGACTGGGAGGATTAACAGGAATAGTCGGGTGCCTGTGGCGAAGCTCTGCGTGTGTGACGCAGGGCTCGGCCGTGGAGTTTCGCCAGGCGCGCTCCTCCCTCCCAGCTGTGACGACCCAGACTGCCCCCGACGTTGCCCAAGTGAGAGCATGGCCGCCCAGTGACACGTCTCCCTGGAGCGAGTGCCCTTGGCCCCGGTCGGACTTCGCTTCCAGTACGCGGGATCGCAGGTGGGCTCGCACATCCCGTACGTGAGAGCGGGGGACACGGACGACGATGGGCGACGTGTCGGCGTGTGAGCTGGGGGACAGGCGCAGCTGCCCGGCAGAGCGTCAGGACGGTGCGTGACTCCGCTCATTGTTCTGCAGACAAGAGTCACCTAGTGAGGCCGACCGTGCGTGCCAAAAATAGCTTTTTAAGTTTAGCTAAGCAATTCTTTTTGTTATTGTCGTGAATCTCAGGACTCACCTTGGTTGGCGTGTCATTAGGTGCAGAGAGAAAGCCCCCTCAGACATCTGCAGCGGTGATAATTCTGAAATCTAACTGGACTGCTTTCTGAGACGATCACGTTGTTCAAGATACATTGGATAAAACCCAGATCAAACTTCACAAGCTCTCACTTCAGATGGACGTTAACCAGTGAGGCAGTGAAAACTCATTAAATCGTTGCGAGAACTACTGTAACTTTGATCAGTTGTCATCTTATTTCATCTTATTCAATACTGAATATTTGCCACCTAAACAGCAAAAAGTACGTACGGCACGTGAGCTGCCAGAGTGACGCTTTTTAAGCAGTATATATGTCTTTCTCTTTAAACTCATAAAATTGGATGGGGCCTTGTAACAAAATGAATGGAATTATTTCTGAGTTTTATACTTGATTCTCATTTACTTAATCTCAGAAGCCAAAAGCGTACGTCAGCATTAACGTTCACACACATGTACCAAAGGAATCCTGTGCCTTGCCTTTTACTTACGCCTCCCAAGTAACTTTCGTCACTCTAGGTGCAGGTTACATTGTGCTATTACAGACTAACTCCCGTTAAAGAGCGCAGAGGTGTCTGTCCTTGCTCTTGTAACATAATAGATACATGAATAGATACATTAAAAGTACTAGACCTTTTCCGTGGAATCTCGGCCTGACTGCTTTTAGTAACCTACCTTAAAAACGCCGCCCTCAATTCCCTTCTCGGTGGAGTCTGTAATAGCCCTGGAAATGCTCATTAGCGTTTAAATGAAGTCACCTTCCAACAAAAAGTCGTCTATGGCCAAGTGTCTGACAGGGACTGGCTCTGAGGGTCAAGTTATGCGCTGTCCATCCATCCAAGAAATGGGATAAACTAAATTTGCTGCTCTAGGAGTTGAACCAAAATGTAGGTAAAAAACTAATAAAAACTGTCTAAAAAGTGTTTACTGCCAAAAGTGTAGATGAGTTAACTATTTTTATGTCCACCACGCCTTTCTGAATATTTTGGGTTAAACTCGGCAGCTCTAGGAGAAGGGACCAGGCCCCAGCCTCAGATGAGCCCCGTCCCGCAGAGCCTCGCGCCGCAGCCAGCCTGGGGCGGCCGCGTGGTCCAGCCAGTTTTTTTTCTCTTCTCGATAATTTCTTTGTGGCTTTTCTAACCCCTTCGCAGTGTTAACCTAGAAATAAAAAGGCTTCAGAGTGAGAGGCAACAAGCACTTACTTGAGATTTTAAGCAGCAGCTCTTCAGGAAGCATCGCTTCAGTCAGGGGCCCAGCCACGTTCTGGCTGGGAGACAAAGGTGGTTTACGGGCAGAAGGGGACCAGGGACGTCAACGCCAGCGGAAGGCAGGCGTGTCGGTCGGTGCAGACAGCCGTCAGTCTGCCTGCCAGCTGCGTCACGGCCGTCAGTGCAGTTGTCACTGTGCTTTCCTGTCACCCTTGCAGACAGTTCAGGGCACAGCGTCACTTAGGCCCCGACCAGCGGTTACTTGGCCCAGTTTTCACATTCCGAGGTTTGAGGCATGAGACGTGCAAGGCAGTTCCTCGGGGATGGTGGCTGCAGCTCCCTGGGAAAGTGGTTCCATTTTTTTTTTTTTTTTGACAGCAGTTAAGTATAAATTTTAGGATCACTTCGTCAATTTTCACTCTCTAAAAAGCCCCTCGGGGTTTGGGGCCAGTCAGCTTTCACTGTGTAACAAACAGCACTCACTGGTTTCCCTCCACATGTGCAGCAGCTGGCGGCGGGCTCACGGCCACGTGGCTGAGACCTCCCTTCCCCTCGGGCACCTCGGGCGGGCTGTGTGTGGCGAGGGCACCAGCCCCGAGCCCCAGCCACACCGAAGCCTCAGGGTCGCTAAGCGCTGCTCGCATCCCTGGGCCTGAGCGAGTCACATGGTCGAGCCCAGCATGCAGGGAGTGACAGCCACGACCTTTGGACAGCAACCGGCCACACCTTCCTTGCAGACCCTGGACTCTCCTGGGAGCCGGGGATTCCAGGCCTCGCCTCTCCTCCCCCAGGGCTCGTTGCCCGTCAGCCGTTGGTCATCGCGCATGGTCCTTGGAAGGAGGTCGCAGTGTGACTCCCGGCACAGCATTCGGAGGGATCCGGAGGCTGGAGTCACACTGCCGGAGCACGTGCTTCCCCTCTCGCTGCCGATGCCGTGAGCCAGTCAGAGGTGGAGACGGGGTGACGGGAGCCTTGTCCCGCTCACCGGTCCTTCCCGGACTCACAGGAAGAGGAAGCCCCGCGTCCGCAGCAAAGCTGTGCTGTCGTGGCCCGTCGGTATTTTTCCAAATTTGCGACATATTTGTGTCTTGATCAGTTGTGAAACTGATCATTGTAACGATAAATAAATCTAGAAGAATTTTTCTAATGAAGCCTCACAGGAAACAAAACCAATTTTAAAGTTTTCAATTCACGTACCCATTTCTCTTGTAGAGAAGTATGTGGAGTGAGCAATGAGACTTCCCAGTGTCAAAATGTCACCTTAGGGTAACTGTCTGGAAGAGGGAAAAGGAGACCCGAGTCCTGTGGCAGCAGAGCACCCTCCGAGTCCCGGGTGCCGGCCCCGCGCTGGCTCCCAGCGGGTCACGTCGCACAGCGAGTTCATCTGGCACTTACGTTCCACCTGGCTGCGTTTTAAAAAGTCCCGTGACGGTTTTATTTTTCAGTGTCCATATTTACAATATGCCAGAAATTGTATTCTTCGTAACTGCTTTGGCTTATGAAACATTTTAGGTGTCAACTTAAGGTGTGAAGGGGATAAAAATATTTAAAATATTTTTAGGGAGTATGTGAATGAAACGAGACCGCCGATGCCAAGCGCGGCCGTGAACCTCACGCTCAGAATAAACCAAGAGATCAACTCCAGAGCCCCTGTTGCGACAGTCCCACTGTGCCTGCTGGGAGGTGGCTCTGTCGCGGTTTAGTTCCAAGCCTGGCTCTGCTGCTGCCTGGCCGCGTGGGCTCTGTGCCTCAGCCTCCCACCTGCTGCACGAAGGCGGTGCTCTAAGGGCTGACGAGAACGGGCACCGGGGCGGGAAGCAGCGCGCTGGCCGGTGTTCACGCAGCAGGAAGTGCGTGGGCCCCGGGGGCGGGGGGGGGCGAAGGTTCTGCTTCCCCGAGGGAGGACGACACTCTTGCCCCCGTCGGCGTGAGGCTTTGACGCAGCAAGGCCCCTCTCCTCCCCAGATCGCTTTACATTGTCCTTTGCAGTGACCACACAGTACCTGTGTCCCAACTCTGATTGCCCTCCTTCGCGTGTGGGGGCATGGGGACACTGGATCTTGAAACAGAGGGCCTTGGGCGAGTGTTGAGCCACCATGGATAGAGTGCCCACTAACGCACCAGGCCTGCGGCAGGAACGAGCCGCGTGTCCCCTCACTGCTGACCACATCCAGCCTGCGAGGTTCCATCGAGGATGCTGTGGTAACCCTCAGCTGCAGAGGTCCTAGGGTCCGTCCCGAGCCACATGGCACCACCCACTGCCCCTTCAGAGAAGTGAGGCCACCGAGGTGACGTTGACGGGACAGAAACCCAGGCACTGCGCGAATGCTGGTTATGCTTCCTCTGTTCGTCAGAGTCTCCCATGCAGCACCATTCAGAAGTGGAGGTGCTGTTCCACATCTGGGCAGACGAAGAGAGCGTGTTGGCCCATGGCCGCCTCTCGTTTGGGAACTAGATCTCCACGCTCGCTTCCCGGGTTAGCCGTAGGCTCAGGGCATCGCGAAGGCAGGCCACGAGAGCACGCGGCGCTCAGCACAGCTGGCCAGGGGGCCAGGGACCGCTCCAGAGGCAGGCCACGTCACGCGTGTCTTCCCCCCACGAGCAGCAGATGACAGGAGAAGTTTGGACAGAGTGACACAGCCCGCCGTGCTTTGAAAGTTACAGGCGAGACTCTAGGAGGCTGAGGGGCATGGGTGACACCCTGAGGAGCCAATT